ATCAGTTGGTGAATAAACAGTTTAAAACACAGTTCTACTGTATACTTTTTTAAAAGTGTATAGTGAACGAATGATATCTGAGATCGTGCATAAGACCGGTGTTTCCTTAACTGAGTCGATCATGGATCTCAATCCATAGGAAACAAGTTAAAACCACCCCCGGCGTTAATCTTATACAAAATAGCCCTCGCCTCCTTGTCTAGATAAAGATCAAAGGGCGTTAGGCAAGGAAGTGCACTAAGAGATCGCACCGCTCCTGTTGCCATTAAGCAGGCAGTCTTTTGTAGACTATTTAGTATGTCCGCAGTCATCTTTTGGTTGGCCTTATTACACCAGACAGTGGGGGCTTAGGCAAAAAACGGGCTCATTATGCTGCTGTACAGCCATAGGATCGTATTAGAACGCAGGCCCCAGTTGTAACCGACCAACAGACTATACGTACCTAAAGCAATTTTAGCCTTATGAAATACGATGCTATGGTCAGAGTTACACATTAGTTTTTGGTCGATTGTTACGTCCAAGTATTTAACTTTAGTGGAGAATGGTACTTCTCTACCGTTAAGTTTTGGTGTGACTAATCTGTCCAACCGTCTCTTTTTGGTAAAGGGTATTATAAAAGTTTTATCAGGTTAAATGATAAACTATTATCCCTACACTAGTTATATATATATATATATATATATATATATATATATATATATATATATATATATATATAATTAATGATAAAATTCTTTGGCAAAAGCCCCTCGTAATGATCACAAGGTCATCAGCGTAACCTAGGGTGTCAATGCGAAGGTCTTCCATCTTGTCTAGTAGTTGGTCAACCGCAAGAGTCCAAAGAAGGGGCGACAATAGAAAATTATCAAGGTTGTTTCCGTAGATTCGCCTCTACAGCATCAGCATGCTTATACTTGTTGTAATGTATGGGCTTCGTAGCTAGAGCTACATCCCTAATATATCGAAATAGGTATTGGAGGGACACACAAACACACACACACACACACACACACACATACACACACAAATACACACAAACATACACGCACACACTCGCACACACAAACACATACACACACACACACACACACACACACACACACAACAGACATAATATATAACATATAATTAATTGTAAACATGAGTTAGTATTATTACGAAGCAATACAAATCTTAATGCGGTCAATTTAAATACAGGTGAAATTGTAGACGATATAATAATGCCATCAAAAACATAAGTCTCGCAACTCAGTTCTTCTATCGTAAAAAGTGAGATCCGTGTAATATCAAGTCGGTTAATTTATTCAGTCCCTACTTAAGGGTCCTTCTGTCTTAAGTTATTACGTAATTAGCTAATATAACAACATCTTATTGTGACCAAATCAATATTAAAAATCTTTTATGATTTAAATAAATAGACTGATTCGGCCATCGCATGAAAACACAATATACCTATCTCACAAGTAATACATATTATATTAAATTCGATTGCTTAGTGCGATTGCCAAGTCAATCTATTTATTTAAATCATAAAAGATTCAATCAGGAATCAATCAAACAGTTTTAAAGGCCTGGCAGATTTTATAAATACTATAAGACCATCAGACAGTCAATTTATATTGATATTTGATGAAAAGTCTTTAAAAAAATGTGATGTATAATCCAAAAGAAGATTTGATTGAAGTGTATTAGGATCATAGTACACAAGAAAGATCTCCAGTCATTGCATGATATTCATTAGTATTTATGATTTTTAGTATTAGGAAGACTGAAACAGCCCATTGCCTACTATTTATGCAATGCATTTTTAACTGAAAAAGAACTTACTGTACTAATAAAAGAGGTTATTATTAATACTTTGTATGATGTTTCATTTTATTTCATTAGTTGAAATTAAAGTTGATTATAAAAGCTCAACGGCTGTAAAACATATTTAATTTTTGATTTCAGATCTTGAATCAGCTGTAGCTGGCATAACTTCCAGGCTCTCAGGCTGGGATGAATATATCTGTAACAGTCTGTGACATGGACGGAGTAAATTTACAAGTTCTCTCTATCTTGGGTGCAATTGTGCTACAACTATGTATTTTGCATTTCATAACAAAGAGATGGTGACACTTTGATACATCATATTTATTACATAAGGGATCTTACAATGGGGTTAATGCATTACATATTGAAATTATCTTTGTTAAGCAGAAGAGAGCAATGAGAGCAATTTACAACACAACAACAATTACAAGTCCGAAGGAGTCTTTTCAAGAAATTTTTAAGAAGTAAATATATTAACTATAGCGTTTTAGTAATTTTACGAAAATTTTATGTAGTTGCACAAAAATAACAATAGTTTTTATTAAAAATAGTGATGTATATTCTGTTAATACTAGGAACAAGTACAAGCTAGTTATATCAGTTATTCCACTTCAAAGAATAAGTTTTCCTTCATGGGGAAAAATTTATGCTTTTACAACAAGTCATAAAATACGCAGCCTATCAAAAACAGTGGCGAAGCTTCCATTAAAGCCGAAAAGCCGGGCTTGCCTTATTAAACCCGAATCAATCAATAATATTAACTAATAAAATAACTCGTAAAATGTTTCAAGCTATTTCAAATTTCCCGGGTACTCCACTGTTCGACACATGTCGACCGATGACCTCGTATTGCCTTAGCGATACTTGGCGATACTGCTGCTGTCATAAAAATGAGTTTTAATAGAACTAATAGTTGTCTCCCTCGCTCGCGTGGGATTTTTACGGGGCTTTCGAGAAGACGATCGCTCTCTTTCTAACCTATGGCAAAATATTCTATAATGAAATATAACTACGATTGTATATATAGCAATTAGTATAGAGATTTAAAGCCAGGCTTTTGGGAATAAATTTGTTAAAAGCGGAGGCGCGCGGGCAATAAGTTTGCAAGTTCATTTCACGTTTCAATGTTTATATACTCTGTGTGCTTATCTTAAGCGATTTAATATTACGAGTTCAAAATTTATGCTTTTTAAAGATTTTTAATGAAAATGGAGGATAATAGTGTTCCTTGTGATGAATTGAAGTGTGTTAAAGTGATAATCGGAGAGGAAATCTTTAAACTTTGTAGAGATAATACACAAGGTTAAGAGTGTATTTTAGAGTTATCAATTATCGCAATTAAAAACAGTTATTGGTACAATTAAAACGTTCACCAACATTTTACGTGGATGTAATTAAATCTTTCCATTAGAAAGCGAGACGATTCCACTTATGTTATCTTATCTCTTATCCATTAGAATGTAAATAATTTTTTTAATTTTTTTTTTAATTTTGCACATAGTTTGTTTGTACTTTGTTCGTGTTTTACTTTTGTTCATGTATTGTATTGGATGTAAATATTTTTTTCTTTCGCTTAAACAAACCCAAACGGCTTTCTTCAAAGCCACCGAAGCTATGCAATTGCTGATATGTAATACAATCTATCTAGCAGTGGTATGCCTTCTGTGTGCTTTGTTAAACACGTCCTTGACAGCAATGAATATGAAACTGAAGCGTGGAGATGGATCAAGATTGGTGTATTTTTATAAAACTGCTAAAAACAACAATCTATATTTTTATCAATTTATATCTTGGGCTTGCCCTAGCTTCGCCACTGATCAAAAACTAAATTTTTTTAACTAAGCGAAGTTGTTTAAAAAAGCCCTTGGGAATGGGGTGATAAATGTTGCTTCTAAATGTAAGTATAAAGTTAAATATTTAATTGTAAAACATTATATTCTAAATAACATTTTTTTTAAATGACCTGCTTGGACTTCTTGCTTGTTTTCTACACAGGACAGAGGCTTTTCCCAAACAAGTAAAAGCATTAATGACTTAATAAGTTTTGTAATTAAGTATACTATCATAAGTTTTGTAATTTTGAATAAAATTTACTCTGTTTACGTCGTAACTACAAGCATATAATGTAGAATCAAAATTTTTAGTGTTAAATCAGGGAAATAAATATGACTATCTAATAAATATTGCCAATTATTATCAAAATGAAATTATTATAAAAATAACGCGAAATTATCAATGACAGAGTTTGATCATTGTCACGTACGAGATGTAAGAGTCTTTTTAAATTCATCATATTCCAGACAGACCAGACAGATCAGACAGACCAGACATGACATTGAATATTGTGAAATTAAAAGGTATCGAGGAATGTGAACTGCCCACACGAATTGGATCAGCAATGCGGACCTCTCTAAAATCCTTAGAAATAACAGAAAGCCCATGTCCAACTTTTATAGGCTGGTACATCACTTTATTTATCCCACAGTTAAAATAAGGAATAAAAAGTAATATAAACGAATGGATAATATTGTTTTATTTGGCGTTATTAAGAAAATATATAACAACATTAAGAAACGGTCAGTTTATTTAATTTTGGATAGACTTTCCTCCATTAATACAATTTCTCCAAGTCTTCGACAACACCAGAAAAGACATCGATTATATTTGGTGCAATGCTATAAGAGAGTAGTAATATTCGAACGCAATTCTGAACAGAAAAAGTGTTATCATGTGTAAAAATCACTGAAATAACAAAAACAACTGAATGTATTTGATTTATTTTGACGATAAATCAATTTTTAATATCGATATTTGTTAAATGTAGGATACAAAACTACTCTGGTTAAACAACAATAATGTATTAGATTTATTATAATTTTATAATAAATTATTTTTTATTTTAATTCTTATTAATAATACGGAGCCTGAGGCCCACGTGTTTTTTCGGTATTTATTTTTTGTATAATAGTATTAATACATACTGTTATCGTTATAGTCTTAAAATTTAAATTCATTGATAAATATGATTTTTTATTACAATAAGTGTTGTTTAAATAATAACTAAGAGTGGGCTTGCTCAAAGTTTATTCTGGTACTATGAAATGCAAAATGTAACATAGAATTTTCACAATAACATTGTTATAACATAAAATTCTGACGCCAGTTTTCTTAGACGCGTGACGAACGGCTTAATAACGATAGCCACCACATCCACATCCGCCGGCGCATCTTCCGAAACCGTATCCAAGACCATATCCATATCCAATACCGGTGCCATAGCCAATACCAGTGCCATAGCCAACACCGGTACGATAGCAAGCACCGGTACCATAACCAATACCGGTACCATAATCAATACTGTCACCACAGCCAATACCGGCACCATAGACAATACCGTCACCACAGCCAAAACCGGCACCATAGCCAATACCGTCACCACAGCAAATACCGGCACCATAGCCAACGCCGGTACAATAGCCAATACCATTGCCATAGCCAATACAATCACCATAGCCAATACCGGTACCATAGTCATAACCAAGGCCTAGAATCGATCCACAGTCATTGCCTGCTGCGGGTGCGACGCCGAGACAGGCGCCGTGAACATTCTAAAAACAAAAGAAGCAAAGAATTTAATATTTTTATGAAAATTTGTATAAAAAATGTTAAAACATGGATGTTTTGAGAGTAGCAGATTTTACTTCGAATAATTAATTTTAAATATTCTCTTGCTAAGAACGAACTAGCGTTGCTCAACAACTGTATATATTATGTGACACAGTTGTAAAGCTTGGCAGGCGGGTTGCCAGACGTAGTTTTTTATTTTCTAGTTGTTATTAGGAAGATGCTTCTGTCAATCTCTTAACTTGTTTACTTCCTTCGTCTCTCACGAGAGAGAGTTTATTATTGGTATTTTAAGTTGTCTCTCACGGCACCTAAAGGACTGTAATGGGTGACGAATTCTCTTGCGCCACCAACACACGGCACACAAAATTATATTGCTTTAAAGTTATAGGTTTTAACATGCATGTATTATTTTACTGATAGCACATTTATTAGAAAACTATGCTTAAAATAATAATATATAATATTTTTAAATTTACCTGAACCAAGATAACTTGGACGCAGAAAATAAAGAAAGAGAAGCTGGACATGTCTGGTAGTTGTTGTAAAGGATGTAGTTTTCTGAATAATTTGTAACTGTAATCGACACATATTTATATGCTTTATTAAAATATCAAATTAGGTGGAAAAAATAATTTGTTACATTCAGAGATCCGCATAAGAATTAAAGAACTTTAATGGGTACATCGCTAGCGGAATATTACTTATTGGCCCGGTAAATAAAAATATAATGCAATACTTCAAAATACAGAACCTCAATGCAATAAATTAACTACGGTATTGTATTTGCGTTACACAATGACATTTTTCAGATAAACAGGAACGTGATCATGAGAGTTATATGTCAAGGTCTACTATTGAAATAAAAATTACAGGTGCATTTTATCAGTTTCCTTTGATAGAGATATAACAATTTTTGAAGATGGTTAGAAAATTATTAGTTGTTAGCTTATTTACTATTATTATTTTTTGAATTGTTATCGGGCTGGTCGCCTTTTGTTACACTCACAGAATGATATTACGAAGTGGAGAATTCCCTTACGCTGATATTTTAAGTTAAATTATTTAAATGACGATGCCGAACGATGTCGAAGGTTTGAGGCACGCATGGTACTATGATATTACTTTTCTCAACTTTGACAATTTCGTACATTAATAAATCAATTTTCTCTTTTTTCTGTTTTATTTGTCCACTTCTTGTTATTTTCACTTAGTCGTCAACCCGACGTAAATGGAATACATTAATAACAGAAAAAAACTATTGTCACACACATTTTAAAACAAACAGCGTTTTGCTATTATTTTATGTTGGTATTATGCGAGAATGTGGTTCCTCCCCGGTCAAGACTACCTATTTTCTTTGCAGCCACTACAGAGTTAAAACTTACCGTATATTTATTACTGCACAAAGTGTTTTCTAGTTAATATAACAAAATTAAACTTTTAAATACTGACTTCCAAATCTAAGAATAATAAAACAATATCTACACAATAGTTTCTGAAGTATAGTGTATGTTTATGTTTATGTTTAAAGACATTTATTCTCATAAAGACATTTTATACGCCATTTACATGAGAACATAAATAAAAGTAAATCTAAATAACAAAATTCATTGTCGTACCTATGTTGTTGGAAAATAAATAACATCAAAAACAGCAATTGACGGGAAAAATCTATACAAATAAAAGAAATGTTAAATTCTAGTATACACAATCACCTTAGCACCACAATACTAAGACCAGGAACAAACCAGTCCAACGCACTCAGATAGATATGTATGTGATTATATGATTTGCTAGTCGCTTTTTGGCAAAACAATGAAGCTTGCGCGTCGAGTGCAGATGCGCCCAACTTTTTTTCGCTTGGTGAATTGCAGATCCGTGCGGACCTTCTTGTTCACGGATTTGCGAATAAAGATACATGTGCTGTAAATGTATAATTGTTTGATATTCATCAGATTCGTCTCTCGGAAAATTTTTGAAGTTGACGTTCGGAAATTGTAGTTGAATAGCATTTTTATGACTTTATTCTATATGATTTGTAATTTGTTTAATCTAGTACCGGCAGCGCTTCCCCAGACCTCGATGAGATATAACAGGTGTGGTTTAACTAGGCCATTATATATTGTGAAACGTAGTTTCTGTGGTATGTATCGAAAATTAATCCGAAGTAAGGCGTGAAGTGACATTAATTTGGTTATTTAATATTTAATGTGAACTTTCCATGTTAAATAGGTATCCAAATGAAGGCCAAGATATTTTTCATTAGTTTCTTCTTGCAATGGTGTATTGTTTATTTTAAGAGGTGAGAAATTAGGTATAGGTTTATTTTTTGCTTTAAATATTATGTAGCTAGTTTTGGAAATGTTGATAGTTAGTAAATTGTATTGTAACCAATCGCGAAGAATGTCAAGGTCCTGCTGGGCTTGAGAGACAAGATCATGAATTGAAGAACCAAAGTAAAAAAGACAAGGGTCATCGGCGTAAAGTGTGATATTGCCATTCAAGCCCAACTCATGCATATTGTTAATATAGACTAAAAAGAGCAGAGGACCCAATATTGAACCTTGTGGAACTCCATAGGTTATGGGTTGTGGGGGACTTTGAGTGCTACTGTCTATTTTAACGACCTGGGATCTATTCGTGAGGTAAGACTCAAACATTTTAAGGCTATGTCAGTAATACCAACGACTTCCAGTTTTTAACTAACGGTGTCAAACGCCTTTTTTAAATCGATGAATACTCCTAGTACGATGTTTTTCTTATCAATGTTTTGTTTGATTTTAGTTACCAGATCAATTGTAGCTGTGAGTGTATTTCTTTTAGAACTAAATCCGTACTGTCTATCAAAAAAGAAATCAATAGAATCTAAGTAGTTTTGTAGCCGTGTATGTAAGACTTTTTCGAGAATTTTTGATAATACTGGCAGTACGGAAATTGGTCGATAGTTGCCCGGTTCTGTTTTTGGTCCCGATTTGTAAATAGGTGTTACTTTGGCTATTTTAAGTGAGTCTGGAAATGATGATGGATAGTGTATCAAATAATTAATGCCAATCATATGGAACGTATAAGAAAATTATTTCCAAAGATAGATTTTTTTTTGCTTTTTGGTGGACTAGTGCCCAACTCAAACGCTGCTCAATTGTAAGTCGCGTGCTGTCTCCAATTTCGTGCAATTTAAGTTAAAGTGTGACTGTGTGACACCATGAGATTTAAAGTTATCTTACAATTGAGTAGCGTTTGAGCATTTGGCCATTATAGTGCCAGGACAACAGTATCGTCTAAACTCTAAACAATTACATTAAAAATTTTCTTACCACATTTTCCACCTTTAAGGCTCCTATACTACCTATTTAATACATACATATACATACATAAACACTCACGCCTGTCACCCAGAGGGGTAGGCAGAGACTACAGACTTCCATTTGGCACGATCCTGACACACCTCTCTTGCCTCCTTCACATCCATACACCTACGCATACATGCTCGTCGGTTAAGGGTACTCCTAATTTGGCCCGTTTTTAATAAATCGCCAATTTGGTCGATAAATTTTCGCCTAGGACGTCCCTTTCCGACTCTGCCATTCACTTCTGCACCATAAATTTTCTTTGTCACTCTTTCCTCATTCATTCTTTCTAATGACCAAACCACCGAAGCATTCCTTTCTTAATCCTGGTCACAACATCATCTTGCAAACCACACTCTTCTCTTATTACACAATTTCTTACCCTGTCATTCAGATTCAGCCCTAACATACTCCTTAACGACCACATTTCTACTGCGTTTATTCTACTCTCGTGCTTCGAGCAAGTAGATGAGTTTGTATATTTGGGCTGCGTATTTAGCAGGGATGGGAGATATGATAAGGATATAGAACGACGAGTGAATGCGGGAAATAGAGTAAATGGGGCCTTGCACTCTATTGTAAAGAGTCAAAATGTGTCGAAAAAGGCACGTATGGCCATTCACTACTGTTGACATAGAACAACAAAAAGAAAAAAATTGAAATCGTTTAACTCAAAATCTATTTGATCGGTCACCATGAAAATTGGTTTTTATTTATAAACTTAAAAAATGAAAATAAATTAGAAACAAACAAATTTAACATTTTTGATTGTATTTTCTTTTTTCAATCAAGCGCGGTTATTAATAAATTAAACTACATGCGCTAAAATAAAAATAATAACGTTGCTGTATACCACCTTTGATATTAAGTGGTAGGACAACGTCTGTCAGTTAATATCATAGGCGGTGTTCAGTAAGTAAAGTAAAGTTATAGCCTATATACGTCCCACGACTGGGCATAGGCCTCCACTTACTTCTGAGAGGGTTTTAGGGCAAGGACACTTGCCCGCCGCGCTGTCTCAATGCGTGTTGGCGAACTTCACATGTCTCCCAAATATTTTTAAGCTATTGCATAGCTTCTATCGCGGGCCTTGAGCGTGGGGACCGAATCCAGAAATTTATTCCGCCGTAACGAAAAAACCTCACGCTCCCCACTCCGACGGGCACGGAGGTGTGGCTTGAAGGCCGTGCATCGTCTAACGTCGTTTCAGTTCGGCAGACTTCGGCACTCGGCGGACTTCGGCACTCGGCAGACTTCGGCACGGTGTTTGTGTGCGTGCAACTAGACGTATGCGTGTACACTAGCTGCTAACTCAATGATAAAAATTCCTGAATAACCTACATGTATTGTAAGACATTAAAAATATTTTAAACAATATTAACTTTTCATTTATTCAATAATTATTTATGTAATCTAAGTATCCTGTTTACTCCAAAGAATACACTTTTAATTTTTTTTATTGGATAGATTGGCAAACGAGCACACAGGCCACCTGATGGTAAGTGGTTGCTGCAGCCCATAGACATCTACATCTATCCTCGATTACAAATCAAAATGCAGATGCGTTGTCACCCGTGAGGACTAAGATGGAATGCCTCATTTCCAGTAAAGAGGGTCTTCGGTTCTCTACACTCACCATACGAAACACAGCAACATTAAGACACTATTTCACACTGGTATTCTGTGAGAGCGTGTTCCTTCCTCGGTCGAGCCTGCCCATTAGTGCTATATACTACTAATATAACTGCAGCATGGATCTACCATGTATAAACTATATACACTTAACTACTCAAAATAGTCTCATATTTTGCTTGTAAGTGGACGAGACATTGTTATACTTAATAAGTTTAATTAGTTCTACATAATGTCTAACATTAAACGTGAACTAATTTCTTTAAAAAAATGTACAACAAGTTATATATAATTATATATCAATTGGATTTAGCCAGCGAGAAAATGAAATCATGTCGTGTTTACGCCATCTAGCGTATTTTTAGCATACCACCTTGAAAGTTAATCAATGTTTGTTCGATAAAATCATTTTACGTATAAAATGCAGTAGATGGCGATATAACGAATTATTATTTTACTGTGTACTCCGAAGAATACAGTTTTAATTTATTACACTTAAATTCTCAAAATACTCCCATATTATGCTTGTAAGCGGACAAGACATTATT